GAGTAGGGCTTTAGCACAGGCCAGGAGACTGCTTTCCAAGCCATCGTTTTCGGTCAGGAGTGAGGTCATCATGGGCACATCGGTGTTGTTGTCTGTCTTCATCTCAACTGTGTACACCACATCAAGTGTCGATAGAGAGGTGGAAAGCACTTCTCCATCACATACTGTATCAAAATAAAACTTTACAATGTGAATTTTAACACAGTATGTCTCTATATCAGTTGTACTGTTGAATCTCTTTGATAACATACATCAGAGTCACCTCCGCAGGATGCACGAGTACCACAAGTGGTTGCATATACTCTTGATCCAAGGCAACCGACATTAATTTCTTGAAAAAGCCCATCAAGAAAAGTATGAGAATTACTAGTCCATATGAGAGTGCTGTGTCACATAAGGACTGATTACTGTCCCTGCATGGAAAACTCTTCAAAACTCTATTTGCCATGTGCACCAGGAAAGACAAATCACAACTTAAAGAAATATGCTAGTTATTTATTATTGATTATAATAATATGCACAAAAGACTTTTTCTTTAAATAAAAAAGAAAATGAAACAAAAAAAACAAAAACAATGACTACAAGAATAATTGTACTGTATGTAACAGAACAACTAATTACATATAATACTCCCGTGAAACATCAATTAAATAATTGCTATGTGAACTTATTGAACTTATTAAAATTATTGTAAATGAGATATTGACCTACCCTTTGCCACATGCCAAATGTCGAACTCATGCTGAATGAAAGGATAATCCACCCGCATTATCTTGCGTATAGACAGGGATCTGTCCATAGTCATCACTTCTACGTCAATGCCTTTATCCAAAAGACTGTTTGGACCTTGTTTAAAAACTAGGGGCTCCATGGCAGAATCAATATTATCTTACAATCCTCAATTGTTATTCCTGCTTTGGACTAAATTTTTTATGGTCATACTAAAAAAAATTCCATTCAGTGAACAGAAATTTCACAGCATGAAAATTATTTATGGCTATCAAATTGAAATGATCAGCATGCACACTGACCTGAACCAACTCAAAGTGCACTACTTGATTGGTGGAATCATCCATTAAACTGTATGTACAGCATTTGGCTGAGAATCCAGGGCTGCAAAGACAATAGGATGCAGATGAAATAAATGGTTACAGAACTGTGTTTGACTTCTACATATAAATATATTGCATTTCTGCTTGCCTGTCAGATCTCCCATCACCAGACAAATGCACTCCTTTATGGAGTATGTTTAGCATACGCAAGGCTTCTAGCATTGTTTTCCTGATGTTCTTTGTAGGCAGCATCAATAACAGGGATTAGATAGGAATTCTGAACTGCATAGAATGTTGAGCAGGGCAGCCCAGTCACCAATGAAATAAACTGTACACCTTCTATGCAACATAATAGTACAGATATGATGTACGTCTGGATCAATGCCAGCAGCATACGCCTCCTCAACGTCTGAATACACAGACTCCGGGTCTGAAGAGTCATGCTCAGTCTCTGAGCTCATTTATGTCCCTAAATGTAATGCTTATAAATGTTGATTTAGTGCAATAATCTCAAATGGTCGGCCTGTTTCTGTATCAGACTGACTCTCCAGCTCAGGAGTTCTATCTCTGAAATGGAGCCTTCTCGGCACCTGCAATGTTCTGACAGGGTTCGGTGTCACATTTCTTTCTGTTCGTTCCACCACTAACTCTTCATAATCTGAATCTTCCTGATCCTCATCCGAGTCACTGTCTGGTACTACATCAGAATAATATTCCTCAAACTGGTCATTACCTGCCTCATTCCTAATTATTCTTTCCAGTGCGGCTCTGTTTGTCAAATCTTTCTGGGCTAAAATCGCTTGTTTAGTTCGCTGCATTAATGAGGTGTCTGCGAGGATCTGCGTAGCATCTCCTCCCTTCAGCAAACTCCACACCTGTCCACATGTTATACCGGGAACATATTCATCATCCCACTTATCTAGTCTGTCTAAAGCACTTACCCTCTTTCTGCTCTTAGCATGTGTGGGTTTATAAAATCCCTTTCCGAGTCGGAATGTTTTATAACTTTTTCCGAGCTTCAATTTGGGAAATGGGTTTTCTACTCGATCTTTTCTTCCTCTGGCAGTTCTTTGTCCGCCTTAATACTAGCCATTCAGGATCTGAATCATCCTTAGAAAATTCAATCAGCCACGTTAACCAAAACACAAACTTCTTCTTCAAGCTCTAAATACTCTTCTTTAAAGATAATTAAATTCCTACCTTTCCCAAGATATATTCTAAGTCGTTCTTCGTTCTCTGACGAAAACTCATCATCTGGGTTTTCGGGGTTTTTCAGGCTATGGAGCACTAGGATCTAGAGCGTTTCTGTTCCCCTCTCTATGGGGTACTAAACTAGGAACTAAGGACCCTTCAGATCCTTCTCCCGTATCAACTTCCTTTAGGGCTTCCCAACTCTTTGTTGGTATGTTTCTGTTTTCGCCCCCAAAAAATGGTCAAACACTCTAATTTTGGGAAATCCATCTCTTCCTCCTTTATTGGAGAATATATAGGATGGAATCTGTGCTCCATCACAAATCCTGAGGGACCGCTACATTATATTTTCCAGCAACGAGAGGATAAAATCGCTGTTTTTGAAGTAAACTCACTCTATAAAGAGAAACGCACAGACGCGCATACATTCAACTTTCATCTCTCTCTCGCTCTCGAATTGGCAGTATTTGAGAAAAGGGTTTAGCGATTTATAATTATTGGGGGGACTAGCCCCCCTCAATGTCTACGGTGGTTATCGCCCTGATCAGACATGAAAATATGTTGTGGCACTATCGTGCAGTCTGTAATGTACCCCTTCGTTTGAAGTGTGGTCCCGAAAAATCTTCGTTTGAAGGGCTATCTGGCTCTTCCCCTTACCCCTACCCCTCCAACCAAAAGAGAATCGAGACACCTCTACCCCTTCACGTGAACGCGCGAAGCGGAGGGGTAGGGGAAAGGGGAAGGGCTAAGGGGTAGAATTGGGATTGGGCCCACCTGTAGTCATCTTGACCCATCATAATTCACTTTGAATTTTCACTGGAATTAGGTTTATACTTTAACAAGACTCACTCTCCTGCTGAGATTTCACTGAGCCCTTTGTCTTTCTCTTTTCAGGTCTTTTCAAGGTATCTGCGCGCACGTTTATACAAGTCCCTCTGGACTACTACTGTGGCCGTGGTCTGTAAGGACTTACTAGGCTACTTCTCATTCACTTAGACTATTATCCTTGAATTTTTCTTCCCCAATATTCAAGCCCCACACGTTTGGGCGCCATGTTGTGTTTTACATCGCGTTTAAAGAAATCTGGAATCCTCTAATTCATATCTTTATCTCCCACAAGCAGCTGTAATGAATAAACACCTCAATACCTCTTGTATTGAGAGATGTGGTTAGAAACTTCTGGAATTCTTCACCGATGTCCGTGCCTGCTCAGCCAGGGTCCGTGTCACTATGAGGCTTCTTTGGAAGTTTTCAAGTTCAGATAATAAATTACTAATAATAAAATATTCAAAGTCTTGTTTAAAATAAGTTTAACACATCACCATTGGAAATGGTTTCGCTTTATTAAAAACAATAACTCATAAGCATTCAAATCAAAAGTAAAAAGTGACAAGTCTTCACCTCGAATTGCGGCGTGAATGTGTTCCAAACATAGCATTTTATAGTCATGCATACAACACGTCTCCTCTTTCCGTACTTCCATATTCAGTGAACACAAACGCACACACACACACACACATTACTCTCTGTGTAAACAGGGCATAGGTTGCTATGGTTACCTAGGCCAGGAAGTGCGACCTTTAACATAGTTAGCAACCTCACAGTAGCATAAGTTCAAATGAAGTAATTGCAGCATCTTTTCAGAGAAGCTAGCTAATCTATCTCTACTTTAATCTAAACAAGTACAACATCTTAAAGGCATAGGCTAGGCAAATAGCAGTTTCTAAACTACATCGCAACATTTCTTTAAGATAAGATAAATACATAACATAATACAACATTTAGAAAGAAGGTCTATTCTGCAACAGTATGTAGCGTCTGGACCAATCAGACACACAATTATTTTTTTTAGTTATATTTAACAAATACTCTGTAACACTCCTCAGTTAACAAGCCATATGAGGGTTCTCGGGCAGTGCTCCCCTCACCTTTGAGGGTTGTATTTGAGCTTTTCTCTCCCGTTTGGCACAGTACTTGCGGGTATCTGCAAACAGATGCTTGGAAAACTCTAAATCCAAATACTACGGTAAGTGCACTCGTTAAGCTTTGCGCACTTTTCTACAAATCCACATAGGTGGTAAGTGTGCACGTTATGCTTTGCGCACTTTCTAAAATCCACATAGCTGGTCAAAACTTCATGCTTCCGCAGAAATTTAACTATTTTCTTTATTCTAAAAATGATCTCCTGATGCTCCATCAGTGGATGCTTCGTCCTGTTTCTTTCAGCGTTGTTCTTTCTTCTTGTGTTTTTTGACCTTTCGGCTCCAGTCCTTTTGGATCCCTTGGACAAGGAGATCATCAAAATGAATTTCTAGTTTACCTGGTTCATTGTTACAGTTTCCAATTGAGAATTGATCAGGGGAGGGAAATTTCGTATTTATTGGATCATCTGATCCTACAATAGTAATAATACAAATGACTGATGTGACACTACAGTAAAAACTGATCTGCTTCAACACAAATGAGAAAAGCACAGATACACATCGACACTCATTTATGACACATTTATTTGGATTGTTATTTCAGTGACAGAAGTTGAGCTGCAGTATTAATGTCATGAAGAGACTCTATAACATCTCACTGTTACTGATTTATCATGCAGCTCAAAGCATTATGGGTAGAATCTCTCCTCAGTCTGGTCTGAATACTTTCCGTACCCACTGTAAAAGAAGAGACTCTATAACATCTACTGGTAATGATTTATCATGCATCTCAAAGCATTATGGGTAGAATCTCTCGTCAGTCTATTCTGATTCATCAACACAGTTTCACTGATGATCCAACATTAAAATCCAAAAACAATCCAGCTCCAAACCCAAACCCAGGATAGAGCGGCTGAGTGAATGTGGTCTGGACTGTGTGAATGAGGCTCATTGTGTCAGAGACGCTGTAGAAGGACAGAGTTCCTGCACTGTGATCCACAAACACTCCTATTCTGCTGCTGATGGACTTCACAGGGAGAGCAGTCCATATGTTATTGTGTCTGAATGAGTATCTGGAGCGAGAGCAGTACAAACTCCAGGACTGATCATTATTTCCAAACACACACTCATCACCTGATCCCTTCCTGCTGATGCTCTTATATGACACTGATATCTCCACAAATCCACTCCACTCAATCTCCCAGTAACAACGTCCACACACTCTCTCTCTACACAACACCTGATACACATCATCAAATCTGTCTGGATGATCAGGATACGGCTGTTCCTCATCCACACCTGTAACCTTTCTGTTCTCCTCAGACAGAATGAGTTTAGTGTTTGCTGTGTTTGGATCCAGTGTGAGAAAACAGGCATCTGAACGCAAGAACAGAGACATTAATAACACAATCATCACTACAGCTGTGTGTGAGTGTGTGTGTGTGTGTGTGTGTGTGTGTGTGAGAGAGT